AAGGATGGCGTGGTGCAGTGGTGATAATGTGGGTCAGGGTCAAGAGACAGAAGTTGCAGTCCCCTTCCTTGCTTGCCTTACAAGGCCACAGTTCTGTCCCCTGGACGATGAAGCCAGCCTCTGACCCTAAGCTCCCCTTTCTGTCCTGCAAGCTCTCTCCAGAGCGTCCAGCTGCCCAGGCCACACACAGCACACACGACGGGCTGGGCCTAGTAGGAGGAGCTCAGGAGGCCTGGTCAGCTGGGAAAACACAAGCAGCCGTCCCGATGCCAGAGAGGCGCTGAGGCTGCCTCCCAGATCCCAGGCAGGCTGTGTCCCATGGGCCGGGGCTGCTGGCGGCGGGATGTGTGCTCACCCCGGGTCTCCGGCAAGCGGCCCTGCCTTCCATTCCGAGGACATGAAACCTGCATACTGAGCACTCGCTGAGTGCAGCGGCCCGGGGCTCTGCAATGCCCCCATCCACCCAGCTGGAATTCATTAAGTGGCTTCTGAGATGGAGGGGCGGGGGGGATCGTCTGTAAGTCCTGACCTGCCGCCACCAGGGACTCCCGAGGGGGGCCTGCTCTGGAACTGTCTGGCACACTGCCAACGGCCTGAAGCCTTGGCGGGGGCTCTTAGGAGGCGGGGGCTCTTAGGAGGACAAAACATGTTTGCAGAGGAATGAGGGCGGGGCTCATCTGGTCTGATCACCCCGGGATCAGAGCAGGAGGGACGCCACCACATATCCCGCCACCCTCCGGGTCTTGCTGCTTTGAGCAGCATGACAACCACACCCCACACAGCATCTGCCAGTCAGAATGTGGATTCTGACCCAATCAGCATCTCGGGGATAAGGTACCTGGGGTCGATGTCACTCCCATGACCTGTGCCACATCACCACCTCCCAGGACCCCGGGGGGCACTCCAGAGAGCGAGGTCACCCCAGTCTGGCCTTCAGGCCCATCGGCCTGGCTCAAGCACAGCATGAACGGACATGCACGGCCGCACCTCCAGCCAGACTCTTCACAAGAGCGAGACGCCGCCACATCGTGGCTCACAGACGCCTCCGCCCAGGCAGGGCCTGGACCCTGTCTGTGAAGCAAGACCACCTGGTCGGCAGGGCTGCTGGGAGGTTACGGGAGGGAACATATGTGCTGTCTCAGCCTGGATGCCGGGAGTGCAGGCGGTGCTTGGACCCCCACGGAGCTCAGTGGTTTCCCGGGGCCAGGACCTCAAGGCCTGAAAGTGTACGGTCATTCCTTCTCTCTTGCTCACATTTACAGGAAGCAGTCAGAAAGCAGCCTCCTGGGATTTCTGGGAAAATCAGCTGAGACACAAACATACTCACGAGCTCCATTAACTGTCCTATCTTTGCAAAAAGACCTTGGTACGGGCTCCTCATGTGCCATTTTGGGCTCCCGTCCCTGAGTAATGTTTGCCAAATGTAGACGATGACAGTTTGATGAGCAGAATAAATCCTAACATCCTGTTTTGATGCAGGGATACTCCAAGCCACCCCCAGACTGCACTTTCCCAAGGGTTGAAAAGGAGCTCAGGGAACAGGATGTGGCTCTTTATCTTTCATGGCCCCCAGTTCGGGGTCCAGCCAACATGGGTGCTCAACTAGTCTCTGACTTAATGACGGCAAGCTAGAATAGTAGAAAGAAACTGCTGGGGACGCCTGGGTGGCTCAGTCATTAAGCGTCTGCCTTCGGCTCAGGTCATGATCCCAGGGTCTTGGGATCAAGCCCCACATTGGGCTCCTTGCTCCGCGGGAGGCCTGCTTCTCCCTCTTCCACTCCCCCGGCTTGTGATCCCTCTCTCACTGTGTCTCTCTCTGTCAAATAAATAAATAAAATACTAAAAAAAAAAAAAATGCACTCTGAGAATCTCTGCTTTTTTTAACTGGTAATTACTGACATATTAAGTCTTATATCTGCCACTTTGTTTTTGTTTTTCCTGTTTTCTTTTCTTACCTTCCTGTGGGTTACTTGAACATTTTTTAGGACTCCATTTCAATTTATCTATAGTATTTCTGAGTATATCTCTTTGTGTAGAATTTTTAAGTGCCCTTCTCTATGTAACATCATATACACATAACTTACCAGTCTACTGGTTTCTTCATTTTTACCAGTTCAAGTAAAGTATAGAAACTGTATCTCTCATCATGTCCTTTTACATTTCCTCATTTATAAGTATCTTAAAATATTTCTTCTACATACATTTAGAACCATATCAGACAGCATTACCACATTTGCTTCAACTACTAAAAATAATTTAGAAATTTCAAGAGGAGAAAGTAAGATTATATTTACCCGTATGTTTGCTTATCATATTCTTTCTTCCTTCCTGATGTTCCAGTTTCTTTTATCATCTCCCTTTTTTTTTTTTTAAGATTTTATTTGAGAGGGAGCGAGCAAGTGAGAGCACGAGCAGGGAGAGGGGCAGAGGGAGAAGCAGACTCCCCACTGAGCAGGGAGCCTGATGCAGGGCTCGATCCCAGGACTCTGGGATCATGACCTGAGCCGAAGGCAAACACTTAACCGAATGAGCCACCCAGGCGCCCTATCATCTCCCTTTTTTTAGGTTAGATCTAAAGGTGATAGTATTCCTTCATCTGAGGATTTCCCCTTCATTCCTGAAGGATATTTTTACTGGGTGTAAGATTCAAGATTGGCAGTCCTTTTCTTCCAGGGCTCGAAAAACCATGTGCCATTTCCTCCAGCCTCCGTGGTTTTGGATGAGAAATCTGCTGTCATCCCAGGTCTTTCCCTCTAAGTCAGGTGTTCTTTTTCTTGGCTCTCAAAATCTTTTCTTTGTGTTTAGTTTTCAGAAGTTCAACTAAGATGAGTCTTGGCATGGATTTCCTTGGGTTTATATTGCTGGGATCCACTCAGCTTCCTGAATCTGTCATTTGGGGATTTTAGGCATCCAAAGTGAACACATGGACACAAATCTCTAGAACCTGCTTCCTGTAGCCATGCCTGGCAAAGTTAACCTGCAGGGCCCGGGTCACCCCTGGCCTGGGTGCAGGAGCAGATTCCACACCTTCTCCTGAGGCAGCTCAGGGCCCTGCCTTGGGATCCCCTCATTCCCTGGTGGGGCCATACTAGCATCCATGTGTTCTTGTTCAGCAGCTCATCCTTTCTGGAGGATTTCAACATACCCCAAGGAGGCTGGCTATTGAGACAGATAATGTCATACTTCACCAGCAACTCACAGATAAGCGCTCTTTCATGTCCTTCTAAGAGAAGATAACCTTGAACTCGTTGTTAACAGATACCTTCCCAAAGTCTGTCGGAGACAAATCCTGGTTATGAAGAACGTCCTGGTTCTGAAGGACATGTAGTTCATTCATGCCGCTCAACATTTTTGTCTCTTTGTGATAAAATGTCTCACACCCACCTTTATGATTACTTGAAATTTCAAAGTAAATTAGATATGACCATGAAAAACACCAGCGATTTTGAACATGCAATTTTAACTCTCATGCCAGGGGCACAGCTTCCTAACCACCAGTTAAGAATTACAGCTCTTAGATATGCTAAATACCACTGTGGGCTGAGGAAGAGTTCACAGAACAAAATTATTTTGGTTCTCCAAGGGTTTGTACCAAATTATACTTCGTGGAGGATATGGTATGCTACCGGAGAACTCCTTTGAGGAACAGCCTGGAGAAACTCATGGCAGGGTTCCCAGACAGATATAGGTCTTCACTGAATTATACTGTGTCCTCCTGAGGGCCAGAGGGAAAGGTTCTCTTGGATTCAAGTACTATGTGTGATTTTGTGGCTTCTGAGCCATGAGTGGCTGCTCATCTTGACCACACTGGGAACCGCAGAACCGATCATCTTGTTGCTCTCTGCCTGGTTCTAAAGGGCCAAGCGTCATGCCCTGCCCTCACAACGTACGCCTACTGAACTGTGAATATGACCCAGAGCACTGGCTTCATTTTGTATCTTCTCATTCCATTTTCCGCTTCATCCAATTTTTCCTCACGACATCTTTTGCATTTGCTTTATTCTTTCCTACCAAGCATTCTCATGTAAGATGCCTTATCCCTTCTGGACTAGGGTGGGAGTATAAATAGTCTGAGCTTTCTACATGTTATCGAAAGAAAAGTAACATGATAATACGTGTAGGGAGTCAACTGAACAGCTAAGTTCCTATGCCATGGCCTATGGCCAGTTTCTACGCTAAATGTTGTAATAAAAGCAGTGATAAAAAACATGTTCCCTGACCTGAAGGGATTGAAATGGGGAGAGAGAAAGATGAATTAACAATTAACTCTAACAAACACCAGCTGAGATGAGCAGAGAATGGTGTAACAGAAATGTGCGGCACAGGCCACCGCCTGGCGCTCATCAGCTGTCCTGTCCCCATGTTGGAGTATCACCAGAGCACCACGTCTGCCCTGTCTACACTCATTACAACGTCCTGGAACCCCTCACCACATCTCCCCTTGGCCACATCCTCTCTCGCCAGCTAACCCATGGGCCCTGGAGGACAGGCACCTGGCTCTCAGGCCTTGTTCCCAGAGTTGGGCAGAGGCCCTTGGACTCAGGCCTGGCACATCAAGTGCCAGGACATGACCAAAGGAAGCAGGCTAATGCCTCCAGAAAGTTCCAGGCAACCACGTATCAACAACTACACACGTTCCTCCATGAGGAAATGCCCTCTGGGAGAAAAAAGTTGTTAGCGATTATGTTCTCTGCCCTGGAAACGTCTATTTTAGTATATGTGCTGCCGAAGCGAGCATTGCCCTGGAAATGTCTAATAGCAGAAGGAGTTTTAGCAAACAGAGGCGCTACAACTCATCAGAAAATTGTGCGCCAATTATGAAGCCCAAAGAAACCAGGAAGATACTTCTAAGCAAAGAAAAATAAAATTATATACTTGCACTATAACTACAACTCTGTTAAATATGTTTGCACGTGCAAGTGACTGGCAGGGAAACTATTAGTAGGGACGGTGAGATTCCGGGGATTCTCAACTTTTCTTCATTTAAAAATGATACTCACTGGGGTTTTTCGTTGTTGTTGTTTGGTTTTGGTCTGAATATAAATAATGTGTTCGTTGCAAAAAGTCTGAAAGATTCAGGAAAACAATAAAGAAAAAATAAGCACAGGTGCAATCCTCCTTCCTGCATGGGATAAGGACGAAACGCTCTGGCGAACATCTCCTATGCTTTCGCTTGCTTATTTGCACGGAGTCATGCTCAGATTTTGGGAGCCAGGCAAGAGCAGGCACCTGACCCGGGACTTATGGAGTGAGGATGGGAAGAGGAAGAACAGACAGAGTGAGGGCAGACCTCGAGGGGCCGAGAGAAGTACGAGCACATACACACACAGCATCGTGAAAGACCAGAGGGGTGCACAGGGCTGATGGGAGGTGCGTGGAGGGCCATGCGGCCAAACTGGTCTAAGCAGCATCAAGGTCATCATCGAGCTCTGTGGACAGACAGCCTGCATCATGACTGGCCCCTGACCCACCCAAGCTCACTGGGAGAGGAAGGAACCTGAGGCTCATGTGCCCAACCCACAGGAAAAGGGGGCAGAAGCAGGATTTGAACCCAGAGTCCACACCCTCCCCATCTATGCCATGAGGCTCTGAATGTCGTGTTCAGAGTCCAGGATCCCAACGAGCAGTAGTCAAGAAAAAGGACTGTTCGCACAGCCCAACCGCCCACGTACCATTCATGTTCCAAGTAAAGGCATCTCGAAGCTTCTGCCCGTCGATCTCCATGTCCAGCCGGATGGGGACAAGCACCTCAGGCTGGGATGCATTCTCATGGATCACAGCTGGGTCGTGGTCATCAAAGCTGGAAGTGAAGTGGCAGCAAAGTCAGCAAGGGGTGTTGTGGGTCTCCACGCTCAGGGCCTCCCTCTCTGCACTGCTGGTCACTGCGAACCTGGCCAGAGGGGAAAAGCCCACTTCTTATGGCGACTTGTCAACTAAGGGCTAAGCCAGCAGAGACGAGCCAGCAGGGGTCCTGCGGCCACAGGGGCAGAGCTCCACACTTCAAGGGCACACAGGGAAGGGAGAGGGAGTTGCAGCCTTGGGCAGCGGGAGATGACCTTGACGTATCCCAAAGGAAAGGAGATTTAAGCCCCAAAGCAGGCCTAACTTTCACAGAAAACTGTAGGAAAGGAAGGGTATTTCCAGAAGAGGAAATACTTGAGCAAAAGCCAATGGGCAGGAGCGGTGAGGAGCTGTTGAGGGAGCGAGAGCAAGAACACCGAAGGCGGGGTGCAGATTGGGAGGAGTGGGGGGAGCAGCGTGGAGGACGCAGAGAAGCTACAAGGTGTCCAGGTACCCAGGTACCCATGCTTCTCCACCTCAGGCTACGGAATCCAGCTTCTACCCTGAGGGAGCCCCAGGAGAACCAGAGCAAGGCAAGTCATATCTGTATTGTAGGCAGACAAAGAGGGAACAGGTTGGGGTGGTGAGGCGGATGGGGGAATGCTGGAGGGTAAGGGGACCCTAAGGGTGTCTGTGGAATACAGAGGGCTGAGACCTGCTCTCAGGAGGGGCACAGATGACAGACAAATAAATGAGGAAAACACACTGTATGCCAGACACCAATGCTCTGGAAAGCATGGACAGGGAAAGGGAAAAGAGAGGCCATTCTAAAGAGGGGGAAGCAGCTCTGGGAAAGGGACATTCAAATAGTGACGGGAAGGAAGAGGGAGAAGGGGTTTGGCCATGCAGACGGTGGCAAGGAGTGAGCTCTCGGCAGAGGGAACTCCAAGGGCAGAAGCTTCTGGGTGGCTCTCAAAGCAGCGTGGAGGCTCATGGGCCTGAGGGTGAGTGAGGGTGGCAAGAGAAGAAGCCAGAGAGCGGTGGCCGCTATGAGGACTCCCTGGCGGACACGTGACAGGGTATCTGGAAGACCTGCGACAGGAGTGGTGCCATCTGCCCTGGGCAAGGGGGCCCACACTTGAGTGGGGGCTGGCCAAGGGCGGTCCAATTCCAAACATTTGGCACGCTGAGAAGGAAGAAATCTGCTGAGACTAGCTCTGTGGCATGAGAAGGAGGAAGTTCTGAGGTTTCAGCCTGAGTGCAGGAAGGATGGGATTACTGTGTCCTGGGTTGGACAAGTCTGCAAGCAGTGTGTGACGGACACCCGAGGACAGCATGTAGAAGTGAGGCTGGGCTGCAGAGATGAAAGTGGAAACTTGAAAAAATGCCTCCCAAAAGATATCCAGTGCTAATCCCTAAAACCTGTGACCATAATATGGCAAAAGGCGGGGGAGGGGACTTTGCAAATGTAACTAAGGATCTTAAGAGAAGATTCTGCAAGTAACCCTGAATCATACCACAAGCGTCCTGTTAAAGAGAAGACAGGGCAATTTCACATACACAGAGGAGGAGGCCCTGTGACCCACTGAGACAAACTGGTGATGCAGCCACAAGCCCAGGAATGCTGGCAGCAACCAGAGGCCAGAAGAGGCAGGAACAGCTTCCCCCCGAGAGCCTCCAGAGGGAGTGGGGTCCAGCCAACACCTTGATTTTGCTGCACTGAAACTCTTGCCCCCAGAACCGTAAGAAATAGATTTGTGCTGTTTTAAGCCACCCAGCTTGTGGTGATGTGCTCCAGCAGCCACAGGGAACTAACAGTAGGGATGTCAGGGGGATGGCATCTCAAACCACAAGATCCAAGGGCTGCACCTTCAGGAGCACCCACTAGAGGCGCTGGGGACACAGGAGAGAGCAGCGAGACTAAAGCAGGCAGAGCCCGGGGCTGGAGTAAGCCGGAGACTGGCTGTCCCAGAAGCCGAGGGGACAGTTTCAAGAAGGCAGCATAGTGTTTTAGGGAACACAAGGTCAAGGCAGAGGGAAGAAGCTAAAACTGAGGTGGAATCCGTTGGGGGGGGTGAGGCATGCTCACCACAGAGGGAAGGTTCTCTTCTTGTCCCGGCCCATGCGGTTCCTGTTGATGGTCGTGGAGCAGGGCACAGCGTCCAGATGGTGGGAGCTGTTGGGCAGGGTGGGCACCCACTGGCTGTTCCTCTTGGCTTTCTGTTCCCTGGGGAGACACGAGAAATGCCCCTGCTCAGTCTAGGAACCCGCTACTGACCATCAGCCTCCAAGTCATGGTCAGTGGACACCCACTGCACCCCTGCCAGGCTCCAGGACCCCATGGGGACCCCTAAGCACCCCGGATTCTGCACGTGTCTACTCCTGAGGCTCCCACTGGCACCCATTCAGAGTCACCCATGCTAGGGGAAGGGTGTAGAGGGGCTCCAGACACAGCAGAACAGTGCCCAGCCCAGCACACGAGTCGCAGTATAACACGGTATGTTCTAGGCATGACTCCATGGAAGCATTATCCCCTCTGCAGGGAATGTACATGAGGAGGAGGCTTCCCAGGGGAGCAGACCCTGGAGTGGAGCCTTATGCACTGAGTTGGGGCTCACTGGGAGTGGGGGGTAGGGCATTTCTGGAAGCGCACAGGTGGCAGGAGAGAGGAAGCTTGGATAGGTTGTGGGCTTGGCTGGGGCTGGAGAGGCGGGACAAGGAGAGGGTCCCGATCCTAGGGGCTGGCATGCTCCATGAGAACTGACTGCACTCGGCAGGCAGCTAGGAGTCCCCGAGGAGTTTGAAGAAGGGAGAGACACGATCAGACTATTCTTTTAGGTACACAGGCCAGCTTGAGATGGACAAGGCAACGCTTCTGGCTTCCAGGTTTCCAGACCAGTAGGGCTGATGAGAAGCTGGGTTAGTGAAAACTTTCTAGAAAGTGAGGCTCAAAGTAATTCAAGTAGCATACCATAAAAGGGCTCACTCTTCTCTGCAAATTACAGGTTCCTCTTACTACCAGGAAAATACCAAAAGGCTATTTTAAACCGAGGCTCCAGGGCCGGCCTGGTTTGAAAGACAAGTGCTCGGGTTCCCACTATGCCCTGTGTTATCACTTTATCATCCTCAGGGCCACCTTCCCTGGTGAGTCTGAGCAATGTGAGGGCAGCGTTGACTGTGTGACAAGGAGGGGGGGTGCCAGTCCTCCTGTGGAGCTGACTGGGCAGTGGGAAGGCACTTCCTGAGCACAGGGCCCGAGGAAAGCAGCTTCACTCAACCTCTACCCCCAACCCTCTCGGCAGTTTTTTTTTTTTTTTTTAAGTAGGCCATGTCCAGCAAGGGGCCCAATGCGGGGCTGGAACTCCCGACCCTGAGATCTAGCCCTGAGCTGAGACCAAGAGTTGGCCACTTAACCGATGAAGCCACTCAGGTGCCTGCCTCCCAGTAGTTTTGGGCTCTGGGGTAACTACAATACTCTATTCCCTCAGCTGTTCCTCATATGACACGATCTTCAAGAAGTGTTTACTGCCCCATAAAAGGTTCCTGGCTGACATGTGCAGACTTGAAAGCCCCAGCCATATGTACATGATTTCCTTCTGCCACTTCCCTGGGAAAGTCTAGCCGTCCTTATGTTCTTACCACATCCCTCGGGGAAAGAGGAATCTGCAGAGCACACATCTCTAACACTGGCCAGGTGGGGTGTGTGTCACCTTTAGGTGGGGGTGGGGGGAGGATTACAAAAACGACCCAATAGTAAAGTTGAAAGACAATCTGGAAAGAAATGATTTTTCCATAACCACATCACTCAAAACAATAAGCCTCCTTCCCCCAACCCTCAGTGTCCCCAGGTTTTTGTGCATCTAAATGCATGTGTTCTTGAGAGCTGAGAGGGTAACGGAGGTATCCTGCACAGCTCACTCACGCGAACCATGTTTCTGGTTGCCGCAGAGTCTATTAACTATGACCTAAACAGTTACCTATGTTCCAGACTATCTGGTTCGAGGATATAGTCTCTCCTGGTCTATAGCCTAGTCTGTCACACCCTAGTCTACTCAGCTGGCTGCACGTTCTCTCACTCAAGCCTCTCCCTAAGGCTGGATGCTCAAGTGGCTCCATACTGTCCGTCATTACTCATGATGCTACCAAGTGCCTCTTGGTGCATATAATGATTTCCGCTGGTGGTGGCAGCCTTTTAAATTATTTGTCTGAGACACATTCCCAGGGGTGACATTAATGGGCCAGAGAACAAAAACAGGTTGGTGTCATCACCATGGCCTTGTACAAAGCCTCTGCAGGGTGCCTGAGTGTGCCAGCTCTATCCTACCTTCCCCAATTCTTTATGTCGCTGGTCATTTATTTTCTTTTACTTTGAATTCTTAACATTACACAAGGCCAAACATCGTCTCCTCTATTTGTTTACTCCATGTGCTTCCAGGGGGGCCCACTCTTTACCTATTTAGCTACCGGGGTATCCAGGTTTCTCTTATAAATGTGAATGTGTAAAAACCAAATAAAACTACCTATGAAAATGAAAAGATAAAAAAATTAAAAAATAAATCTGAATGAACAGACTCTATAATGTAACCACCCTCCAATTACTTACCTAATTATTATTGTAAATACTCTTTCAAAGGTTCTAAGCTTCTATATTAAAATCTATCATTCGAGGCGCCTGGGTGGCTCAGTCGTTAAGCGTCTGCCTTCGGCTCAGGTCATGATCCCAGGGTCCTGGGATCGAGCCCCGCATCGGGCTCCCTGCTCGGCGGGAAGCCTGCTTCTCCCTCTCCCACTCCCCCTGCTTGTGTTCCTGCTCTCGCCATCTCTGTGTCAAATAAATAAATAAAATCTTAAAAGAAAAAAATCTATCATTCACAGGCTCCTGGGTGGCTCAGTCGGTTGAGCATCCAACTCTTGGTTTCCGCTCGGGTCATGATCTCGGGGTCATGGGGTTGAGCCCCCCTGCGCTCAGCACGGAGTATGCTTGAGATTCTCTCCCTCCCTCTCCCGCCTCCCACAAGGCTTGCACATGCATGCTCTGTCTCTCTAAAATAAAAGAATAAATAAATCTTAAAAGCTACTGTTCGTTTCTTTTGTGAATTTATCTGGGCCACTCATTTTTCGAACAGATTAGTCCCACTTTCAAAGCATTCCTATTGACTTTCCAGAACCCAAGACTGGGCTTATGTTTCTTAGAAATTCCAAAGATACAGAAGAAACTTGGAAACCTGGCTAAGACAATTTTTAAGCATAGTGGGTGAAATGTTTAAAAGTATTTTGGTTCAGGGGTGCTTGGGTGGAGCAGTCAGCCAAGCTTCTGACTCCTGGTTTTGGCTCAGGTCATGATCTCAGGTCCTGAGATTGAGCCCGGCATCCGGCTCCAAGCTCAGAGGGAAGTCTGCTTAAAAAAGACTCTCTCCTTCTCGCTCTGCCCCACCCCACGCCCTGCATGTGCACGCACACACTTGTGCGCGCACTCTCTCTCATTCTCAAATAAATACACCTTTGAAAGTATTTCAGTTCCACCGAATCGCAATCAGTTCTAGAGTATGAGAAAAATACCTGTGGCTGTCTCCCGAGAGCATGCCCCAGCCGGGGGTGTACTACCTGAGGTAGGTGGGCGGCTCCGTGCTGATGGACACCGCCTTGTACTTCTCGTCATTGCCGTCCAGAATCTCTTCCACCTCTGAGGCTTTTAACAGCGTCACGCTGGTGGCCAAGGTTGTGTATCCGTGATCTGCAAGCAGAGATGCCGCTGCGGTCACCCTGCTGGCGGGGCAGCGAGGAGCGGCAGCCGGTGGATGCAGCACATCGAGGTCCTCACATGCACGAGGAGGGAAAAGCAGGTGTCAACCTTACTACTGCTAAATGCTGGCCTCTTCCAAAAGGGCAATCTGGACGGAGTGCTTTCGGGGTCCTACTGAGGAAGCACTCCCAGAGGACTGACTCACGCTAATTTGTGCCAGGAGCATCGGCTCGGGGCACAGAGGCAGCGCCCGGGGCGGCAGCAGCCATGGCACGGCACAGCCAACAGGTCCTCTGGGGGGGGTGGGAAGGAGGCTCCAGAGTAATACCACCAGTGGGAAGAGGTCTGACACCATGGCAATCCACGACACGAAGCAAAGTGGAGAGATGGAATGAAAGATGAAAAATACTTTTCTTTTAAAACAAGAGCCCAGAGAGTTAGAAAGAGCTGCTTCACACCAAACGTCAATTTCCGGCCCTGTGCCAGTCAACGCACGCCGTCTGGGAAGCAGGACAGGTTCTAGGCAGCTCGACCCATAGCTCTTCCAGGGAACCTTGGTCAAGAGCTGCTACCTGTCTGCGCATCCAGCCTGGCTTCTCCTGGAGAAACAAATCGGTTATGGGGAACGTGTCTCCAAAGCACAGGGCAGAAGAGCCACTGAGACTTCACTTGAGGCTTGCGGGGGTGAAAGCAAAGCTAGGAACTCACTGCGTTAGTGACTGGTGCTCCACTCGGGGGGGCGGGGGGGCAGAGGGAGGACAAAAAAGGAGACTTTTTAAAGCAAGTGAGTGGCAATGTTATAGCAGCACATAAAAAAAGAAGCTCCGGCTCCTGCATTAAAAGAACCACTACTTTGCCCACAGTGGACAAGACCACAGCAGTACCTACAGACACAACCAAACAGGACAGGCGGACGTGCGTGCACGCGCATCCACACACACACACACACACACACACACACACACACGCGCATGCACAGGTTCAGGCAGAGTCTTCACCCAGGCCTGGGCAGCTCTCTATAAGGCGCCACTGCCAAGCGGAAGCAGTTTCGCCACCTGCCAAACGCCACGCCGCATCCAACCCGAAAGGTAAGGGGAGACGCTCCCGTCGGAGCCCTCGAAGCGTCTGCAGAGCATCTTCTGGCCCTGCGCAGAGCTGCCACTGCCAAAGCCCACTCAGCTCTCGAGTGTTGGGCAGTTCAGCCAGCGAGCCCCAGGCACACCTCAGTCACACCAAGCAGGGACATGCACATGAGCACTAGCACGCTGGTCGTCAGAATGAGGTGCTACGGGATGGATGTGCTCTGGGAAGCGAAGCGGTGAAAGCCCCAGAGGGGAGTGGGAGCTGGGGCCACCACCCGCGCTCGGGCTGCATGGAGGGTGACTATGGCGACAAGCCCACGGCAGATGGCAGAGCATCACAGCATTCCTAAAACGTTTTGAGACCAACATGTCTTCACAGCACCCACTCGTGTTCCGGCCCCACCGCCCTCACAGCCCCGCCGCCCTCACGCCCCGCTGGCCCTGCTGAAAATACCTGACAAGGGACCACCGGCTCCCTGGAGCCGCTTTCTCGCCTGAGCTGCGCGGCAAGCTCCGGGGCAACCCTGCCCCTCGGATGCTCCCTGCCACACTAAGGTCACGGCTGCAGTGAAGACACTCTGGAGTGAAAACGTTTTATCTTCATGACATAAGCGAGTGGTTTTGAAACAGGTTTACAAACCCTCGTGAAGACGCACCCTTAGTGTTAGGTTTTGTTTTTTTACCATGTGACGATGCAACTATTTTCTTCCTCTCTTCCACAGTGGCTAGTCGCCTCCAGAGCGAGGGGTATCTCTTGTACAGAGAACCTCGGAACATACGGAGGTAGTTTCCCACCTATGAGTAAAGCAAGAAGGCTCATTATGAGGGTCCTGTCTCGACGCAGAAAGAGAGGGTCGTGGTGCAGAGGCTCTGCCCGACTGAGTGACAAGCAGAACACGAGTTAGCCTCTGGGCACCAGGCTTTCTGCAGCCATAAAAACACATTCTGCTGACATCGAGGGTTCAACAATAGTGCACATCTGGCCCACATCTGCCCCTCTAGGCAGGGGCCATGACATCTGCATCCTGACGACAGGACCAAGTTCTGAAAGGCCTGACCAGACGCTTCTGAGGCAGGCCCCCAGAGCTCACTGAGAAGCTCATGGTGATTTTGATTTTAGACTAAGGATCCCGGGCCCTTTCCAGAAATGTAAGGCCTCTTTGACTTTCTTTTATCTTAAGAATAGACTTTGATATTTTCATGATGTAATAAACACCAAAAAGGTCTTTTAATTTTAGACAGATGCAGGATAATTTTCCCCATAGCCCCTGTTGGCTTTGTTTAGTAACAAAACTCAAACCAGGAACACCAAAGGAATTTTCCAAAGAGTTTAAAAAGCACTTACTGGCAATCAGCATATTGCTATATAAATCATTGCTGCCCCAAACAACTACTTCAGTTTGTCTGTACCGGATACTCAAAGTATGACTTCCTTAATGAAAAGAAATCTAGTCTCCAAGTTTTTGTCAAGAAACTCGATTACTGGGGCACCTGGGTGGCTCAGTCGTTAAGTGTCTGCCTTCGGCTCAGGTCATGATCCCAGGGTCCTGGGATGGAGCCCCACATCGGGCTCCCTGCTCAGCAGGAGGCCTGCTTCCCCCTCTCCCACTCCCCCTGCTTGTGTTCCCTCTCTGTGTCAAATAAATAAATAACATCTTTAAAAAAAAAAAAACTTGATTATTTCACAGACAGTGACCACTTGGGTCCCCTGGAAGGGGACAGTCAGTAGACCGAGTGCCATGTGTAGCTCCACCTGGGGCCACGAAGCACAGCCCTTTTCTGGGTCTCCTCACTCATCCGTCAAACATGCAGCAACTCTGAACTTTGCCCCATGGAGACCATTTCTATTATTCTTCCCATTTACCTACCCAGCATGATATTATTTGTTAAATTAGAATGGGTTTCTCCCTTTTTCATGAATCAAAGATTTTTATGATCGACAACCAGGGCTGCTGAACAGCCTGACAGAAGAGTGGCCACAGCGAGTTGCTCATTCTCCACACAGAAGGCAAAGACCCCTCTCTGCATTGTTTGGCTTGAGTACCATTATCATCCAAGGGCAAATGGATAGTTTCCACTAGGTTTTTGGAAAGAAATTGACAACAATGCCCCCCACCATTACCTCGCAGGTCCTGTAGGGCTCCAGGACACCTAGATCCTTCCCAAGACCCCTTTGGAACTTGGGAGACCGGGACTTGCCTTCCTGGCTTTCCCCTAAACTGGACTTCACCCTCTCTTGACGCCAAGTGTCCTAAACATAATATGACAGTTGGGGCACCTGGGTGGCGCAGTCAGTTAAGCGTCCGACTCCTGGTTTCGGCTCAGGTCAGGATCTCAGAGTCGTGAGATCGAGTCCCGAGTCCGGCTCCAAATAAGTAAACAAATCTTTTTTTTTTTTTTAAGATTTTATTTATTTATTTGAGAGAGAGAATGAGATAGAGAAAGAGAGCATGAGACGGGGGAGGGTCAGAGGGAGAAGCAGACTCCCTGCCGAGCAGGGAGCCCGATGCGGGACTCGATCCTGGGACTCCAGGATCATGACCTGAGCCGAAGGCAGTTGCTTAACCAACTGAGCCACCCAGGCGCCCAGTAAACAAATCTTAAAAAAAAAAAAACGAGGGTGTGAACCTGGGGATTTCTTAGGGTGCTCTCAGCTCTGTGACTCTGGCTTGGTGAACACAGCTGTCGGCAGATGGCAGGAGAACAGGGACACACACGTTTGCTGCAACTGCAGATGCCTCCCCAGAGCCGCTCCACAGATGAGGAATGGCAGCCCTGGGGCTGTTGCTATGGCTGACCCAACCTCTCTGAATATGGTGTCTGTTTTCCAAGGGGAAGGGGCCCAGAGGCCATCTACCCAATGCTGTGACAGGAGTTACTGGTTATCAATAGTCAGCCTCCTGATCTTGAATCCTTTGCAGACCTCCGGAGATCTGACAACTGTTCAGCCCGGCCCAAGAGAGCAGATGCCTCTCCCCTCGCCCATCTAGGTTTCTAAAGACTGGGTCTCAGGACGATTCTCACTCAACAGGGTTGAAAAAGAAGCCTACAATTAGCCTTCCAGAAACTAAGAGGAGTTATGGGGAAGATCTTAGAGATCATCGAGTCTAAGCATCTCTCATATACATGAGAAAAGTGAGGAGGCAGAGCAGGGCTGGAACCAGGCCTCCTTCTTCCCATCTCTCAATATACTCCACCTATTAACTGAAAGCTTGCTTTTCAAGTAGCATCCACTCACAGTCAAGGCCAAACTGAGTGCTTTTCCTGTCCATTAGATCAGATAAGGGCTTCTTTAAATAATGTGCCCAATATCAAAGGAAACTCCTCAAATGCCCTGTATCCTGCATTTAGGCGCTTCCTACAGGTCACTGAGCTGTGGCACACGGACAGGCATGGACTCCGCTTCCCTGCTATGTCTGAAGAACAGCACTGATGTGATAATGTGAAAAACTGATTTATAAATCCTGCCCTCTTTGTTTTATAAAAAGCTGCTGAAAAATGGACAATCAACTCCTGATGCTACTGACGATACTGGTCTCCTAACCTGATACAATTATAACAAGCCAGGAATCACAGGGTATCCTGAAAGCCTCAGTGTGACCATCATGAGGCTCCATTCATTCATGCTATGCTCAATCGCAAAGGAAAAAATCCCCCATTATTTTAAAAACGGGAATGAAATGTTGGCATATGATACTGAACACTGCTACAAGGAGAAACAACCCTGGGCGTCTTGTAACTGCTTTAGCTCTCCAGAATTGGCACTTATCTCATTACCCAGGAAAGACTCTACAGCTTGGGTATTTGCACATCTGAACTGCATATCCCCAATTAAAAAAAAAAAAAGGAATATACACTAGCTTGGGGTTACTTTTGGATCAAACAGGGCTAGTTTGAGGCAATCTAGAAAAAAGCTTAGTTTTTAGTATAAACTCCCACAGAAAGACCAACTGTAGGGTTTTCCTAAAGTCAGCTGTCCAGCTGATTCAAAAAAATGCTGTCACTTCTGGTTAAGAATTGAAAATACTGGGCACCTGGGTGGCTCAGTTGGTTAAGCGACTGCCTTCAGCTCAGGTCATGATCCCAGGGTCCTGGGATCGAGTCCCACATCAGGCTCCCTGCTCTGCGGGAAGCCTGCTTCTCCCTCTCCCACTCCCCCTGTTTGTGTTCCCTCTCTCGCTGTGTCTCTCTCTGTCA